TGGATTTTGCTTCTTTATACTTCAAATCTTTGACTTGATTCTTGGGATCCTCTAGTCTGCTGTTGGATCTCTGTATATTATTCTGTATTTCAGTCAGTGTATGCTTAATTTCTAACTGGTCCTTTTTCATATCCTTGAGGGTCTCACTAAATTTCTCAGAGTTTTCTACAAGATTCTTGAGTAACCTTATAACTGTTGTTTTGAACTCTATATCTAGTAGTTTGCTTTCCTCCATTTCTTTCATTTGTGACATGTTTCTTTGTCTCCGCACTTTGGCTGCTTCCCTGTGTTGATAGAGTGGCTTTGTGTGCTAGGTGTCCCATAGGGCCCAGTGACTCAGCCTCCCCAGTCACCTGAGGTGGATGCCCTTGGTGCACCCCTTTGTGGGCTGTGTGCACAGTCTTGTTGTAGTTAAGCCTTGATTGTTGTAGGTATCACTGGGAGGAATTGACCTCCAGACCAATTGGCTGTGAGGACCAGTTGTGTCTACAATGGGAGAACTGCTGTGTTGGAGACACCCTTATGGGGCAGGACTTGCTTCAGAGCGGCTTGGTGCTCACTGAGTCTGCCCCCTGAGTGTGTCTCTTATGGATCTGAAGAGTTGTAATCTGGTGTGCTCTCTCTCTGACCACTGGGTACACTGGCTCTGGGATCTCCAAGGAGGTGCAAAGTCAGCCACTGCCTGAGGCCACCCAGTAGGAGCTGCAGAGAGATCCGCAGATTCCTCCTCTTTGTTTGGGGTTTTGAGGTGCCCAGATGAGGCGCAGCTGTGAAGCAATGCAGGCTGCTGAGGAGCCTTAGGCCTTCTGTTGGAAACTCTGGGGTTCTTTGACCCAGGTGCAGTTTGTTAGATTTTATATTGCAAAAGGCCAGGCCATTCATATGCAAAAGCCTCTGCACACAGCTTGAGTGGGGTTGTAAATTGGGTGGGGGTGGTGGTCTCAGGGAATCACAGAGTGGTGCAAACAGCAATGGTTGTCCGTCAGCCCTGCTCCAGATAGGTCCCTGGGTCTCTGTGTCCTGCGGCCCTGTGCAGAAACAATGATCGCTGAGAACACCTCTGAAAGAAAACAGCCCTCGAGTTCTGGCCCGATGCCAGACACTCCAGTTTCTTCCCGTATGAGTCTGGGTGCCCAGAGTCTCGCCCGGAACTGGAGTTCAGAGCAGTGGGGAGTTTGTATCTCCCTCCCGATTGAAAAAGACCACAGCGCACCCAGTTGTCAGCCCATTTTGTGCGCCTCTGTACCAGCTCTTCCGCACCTATGCACCTCCTACCAGTCCAGATGCGCTTTTCTCTTTCCCTCTAGTTGTTGGACTTCCAATCAGCCAGCCTTCCCGTGGTTCTGGATGATATCTGTTTTGTCTTTTAGTTGCAGTTTTGATGTGGTTGGGCAAGGCAGCAAGTTCAGGTGTTTACCTATGCCACCATCTTGGTTCCTCCAACATCTGCCTTTTCTTTAAATTGAACGTTAAAGATGAACTTGACAGGCTGAACAAAGGTGCCAGCTCCCTGGCGGGATGTCTCACAAAGGACTCTTCGTGCTTTTACCCTTCCATTGGGCTCGCTGACAGGTGAGCAGTAGCAGCCACCAAAGGGTAGAAAATAAATTGTGAAAGAGGATAATTTTGTCCATCACTTTTAAAATGTTTCTGTGCAAGCTGGGCAATAGCCCCCATCATGCGTTCATGCATTGGAATGGTCTGCGGCTTGAGGGCCTGCCCCACTTCCTCACGTCACACATTGCAATGGTCTGCGTCTTGTGGGCCTGCCCCACTTCCTCACGCTGCCTGTCCTGCCTGCCTCAGACGCCCTTCCTCACTGCCGACCTGGTAACCCTCCAGGGTTCAGCTCCAGTGTCGCTGCATTGGCAGCCCTTCCTGTCCCTGTCCTGCCAGGCTGGGCTGTCCTCTGTCACCACACCAGAGTGTCAGGTGTATGGTGGGGTCTCGTGCCTTCAATGTGAGCTCTTTGAGGACAGGACCTGATGGAGCTGTGTGTCTGCAGCCCAGGGACCCCGAGGACAGTGCCACGGAGCTGCTGCTTCCCACGTCAGCAGTGACAGGAGGCCCGGGAGCCCAAGCAGGAGGGGCTGATGGAGGCTTTCTTTATAAAATAAATATATATTCTTATTGATTTCAGACAGGAAGGGAGAGGGAGAGAGAGATAGAAACATTAATTGATGAGAGAGAATCATTGATTGCCTGCCTCCTGCACGCTCCCTCCTGGGAGCCCGCAACCCCTGCATATGATCTTGACTGGAATCTAACCTGGGATCCTTCAGTCCGCAGGCTGAGGCTCTATCCACTAAACCTAACCTGCAGGGGCCACATAGTGTTTTCTGGGTGTCCAGTCCTTGTCTGCCCCTGGGGAGGAGAAGATGAGTAACGCCTGGTCCTCATTCTCAAGGACTTTGCCATTGACGAGGGAGCTACCTGTGTGTCTCACTCCTCTCACCTGGCCACACGCATGAAGCAGGGGCTCCCGGGGGCCTGTGGGGCTCAGGGAGCCAGGGCCCAGCTTTGGGATAATATGGATGATGCTGACAGCCTGGCAACGAGGGGCTGAGACCATTGGCCACTTCCCGTGATGTTGGCAGGTGCTGTTGGCATAGAGTGCAGTGCCCTGCGCTCTGCAGTCCAAGGTACCTGTAGGCAAGCCACTCTGATGACAACACAAACACCTGGGTTACATGCTCCTTGCCCACTCCCACTGCCCTATAAACAGGAGGAGGACAGGGAGATGGGGTCCCTGTTCTGGACACTAAACTCTTCGTGTCCAGCGTGTCTGAGCCAAGCTCCCCTCTGGGCTTGGCCGGGTGAGGGTGCTGGCTGAGTGCCTCCAGCTGGTGACTCCTCCAGCCTCCACCAGGTGATGCTGGTGGCACATGCCAGACCACTTTCCCTGTGATATTGGGGTTACTTTCCCCCTGAGTGGCAATTTTCCTCACATCCTGAGGGAGGCAGACTGGGTGGGGATCACCTGGGGGCTGAGATGGCTTATTGACCAAAGAATTTGTCCAAGACCCCACCTCCGAGCTGTTTTCATCCCAGGTGACCTTTCTTGTGATGTTGGGGGTCCAGCTGAGCCCTATTAAATAGTCACTGAGTCTTTTGGGTCCCTAAGTGGGGTGATCTCAGCTCATGCCAAGAGGTGCCCATCTCACCTCATGTGGCTTTGTAGCCCCCACCCACGTTGGTCCGCCAGGAGACCCTGTTCACTGAGTCCGTGGACGTCCAACTTGGGTCCTTTCTGCGTTCTTATCAGAGGGCCCCTTGGACAATAGGACTCCGCTCCTGTGGGTCTGGCGTGATTCTGCGCCTCGCAGGGGGTGTGGGGTGACCAGCGGCAGTCAGGCTAGTGAAAGGGGGAGGAACCAGGAGGAAGACAGGTTACAGGAAAAACAAGACAAAAATAACTGTGAACAGCACCAGAGGCCAACTGTGACACTTGTTCTGAGTCTTGTCCCCTCCCCTGAGTTGCCTGGTGCAAGGCCTGCCTCTCCCCTCACCTTGACTTCCTCTTCTCTGAAACCAGGCCTTTGCTGGGGTATCATGTCAGGCTCTGGTGTGTGGTCTTCATGCAATACTATCATCACTCTGCCGCCCCTCCCTGAAGAGGGGGGAGGTGGCCATGGCGCCTCATGGACATTTGTCCAGGATGAGCAGGCCTCATGGAGGGGCCATGCTGGCCTCTGGGGTTCATGCCCAGCCCTGCCGGGGTAAGGAGGACAAAGAGGAAAAGCCCATCAGCTCCAGCACTTACAGGCAGAGCCATTTCCCTCCTGTTTCTTGATCTGTAAAATCCAGGTGATGATTCCTGGAGCTGGTGTGAGAATCAAACAGGAAAGGGCGAGAAGGTGCCCGCAGGGTGCCTGGCACGCACTCAGCCCTGCGTCCCTTCCGTTTTCAGACGTTTCTGTGTGACGGCGACACTGGGCTTCCTATAGAAAGATCTGCTGTCAACAGGAAAGGGGCCCGGAGAGGGAACAGCCGGCTTCTCTCTGCCGACGCCCACAAACTTGTGCTCCCACAGACGTCCATGGCCACCAGGGAGGGCCTCCTCGCACAGGTCGCCGTGATTCCAAGGCACTGACCCTGCCACCAGGGACAGGGCCAGAGAGGCCTGATCTAAAGGGTTAGGGGAGAGTAGCCACAGTGACATTGGGCCTTCCCCAGGGGCCAGGGGAGCAGAGCCTGCAGGGGACAGTGGCCTCTGGGAGGGGAAGATTCCGGAGGGCTTCTCAGAGGAGGTGATCCCAGAGTTGGGCTTTGAAGGATGAGCATGTTGCTCCAGGTGGAGAAGCAGGTGCTCCTGGCAGAAGGACCTACAAAAGCAAATGTCTGGAAACAGCCTGGGCGGGGCCTTCAGTAGGAGCAGGGACCAAGGCAATGCAAGGAGGCAGTGAGCATCTGCTGTGCTCAGGGTTGTGCTCATTGCTGGGGACAGAAGGGTGACTAAGGAGAGCATTTGAGGGAGTGTGTGGTGGGGATGAGAGAGAAATGTTGTGGGGACAAGCCCATGGGTTGGAGGGAGAAATTTACCCAGGATCCCACTGTCTGTCTGTGGCAGGTCTTCCTTCTAGAAACCTGAGGGAGGCAGGATGGGCTGAGTGGAGAAGGACCTCGGAGGTCAGACCTAGGGTTGCTCTAAGGCAGTGGTTCTCAACCTTGCTGCACATTAGAATCACCTGGGAATCTTTTTAAAATCCTGA